AAAAAGTGTTCCATAGCTAGTACTAGTAACAGTAACTGCCATTTTTTATCTGTAATAATTGAGTGATTTGTAAAATGGGATATTTTTTGTAGTGTTTTCTTCATGAATTGTTCTTCCTTTGAGTCATATTCATAGCTTCTGATGACGTTTTACCAGCATCAGCAACATTATAATGGTCCTGTAGCCCTGAACTTGCTATTAACATAACTATAAGGTTGCACTCTAGGGTGAACCAAGCAAAAAGCTCAAGATCAAATAAAAATTATTCCAAAAAGCAAATACAAAAACGTCAACAGAAGGAGATTCCATGAACTCCTATTCTTATCCATTCCATCACTTACAATCTTATTTCTTATTTTTTTTCTTTTGCTTTTTTCTCTCACATAGTCCCTGGGTCTCTCTAATCTTCAACTTGATGCTTTTCCTGGTTTTGCCCTCAGTAGGAATTGATCACAAATGGTTGCTATCTTCAGTTTGGGCGCACTTCATATACTTGGACATCCTGGAATTGTCCCTTCTTTTGTTCAAACCAACTACAGGTGAACCCTTCTTACAATTAAAATCACTAAGAATGGATTTTTCACAAGTCATCACACCACCCCCTTTGGTTGATTAAATTAAAGTCTACAAATAAGTGTTATAGAAATAAATCCCAATTATTACTTAGCAAAGTTATTTATTTAACTCTGTGTAGGATTCTGAGCAGAATAGAGCAGATATAGATTGGTGCTTGAATACAAACTGAATTTTACATAAATATTTTCATTTTCCCCAGAACAATAGTTACCATAGAACTCTGATCATTCTAAAGTGCCAGCATCCACCAGACAACTTAACCAACATTTTCAGTTTATGTATAAAATAATCTTTCTTTCCTTTGCTTATTCACAATTTATCAAAACCTCAGATTTCAAATGTATTGAGAATTCCCATAGCCAAAATGATGATGTAAGGAAAAAGGGTTAAGCTATATATATATTGAAATGTTAATGTTCTACTAATTATGTCTTTAGAAAAAGAACAGAGATCAGAGATTGCATGTTCACATACAGAAACATTTGTCTCTAACATCTCACTTTTAGAATTAAAGAACATTCATCTGGAAAGATCTTAATTTCATAGGCTAAATAAGCACAGGAAAACCTCAAACTACAATTAAACAACTCTACAAGTTTTTCTACATCCTGTATAAACCATTTATCAAACAAGGGACAAAGGAACGTTCTGAATTACTTTAAAAGTAAGTGGCGGGGTCTATATTCTCATGTTAGAGACGTATCCACAGCTCATTAAAAAGAGAAGACGTCATTGTTGCTCCATGTAGATAGATAATACAAATAGTTTCACTCAGATAGTGAGACTCTCTCATCACAACTGCCCAAAATAAAATTACAGCTTCCATAGAAAGTGCTTTTTCTCCTTTGTTAAAAACCAGTACCAGAGACCAGCACTGTGGCGAAGCTGGTTAAGCCACTGCCCGCGACACCAGCATCCCATTTGACTACCAGTTTGTGTCCTGGCTGCTTCACTTGTGATCTATCTTCCTGATAATGGGCTGGAAAGCAGTAGAAGATGGGTCCCTGCCACCCACATGGGAGACCCAGATGCAGCTTCTGGCTCCTGACTCCTGGCTTTGACCTGGCTCAGCCCTGACTGTTGTATCCAACTGGACAGTGAACCAATGGATAGATCTCTCTCTCTCTCCCCTCTTCTCTGTAGCTCTTTCAAAAAATGAATGAATCTTTAAAAAATTACTAGCTTTTATTTTTTCAAAAGATTTACTTATTTATTTGAATGGGGAGAGTTACAAAGAGGCAGAGAGAGAGAAAGACAGAGAGAGAGAGACAGTGAGAGAGAGAGAGAGAGTCTTCTATTTGCTGATTCACTACCCAAATGGTTGCAATGGCCAGAGCTGAGCCGATCTGAAGCCAGGAGCTAGGAGCTTCTTCCGGTCTTCCACGTGGGTGCAGAAGCCCAAGGACTTGGGCCATCTTCCACTGATTTCCCAGGCCATAGCAGAGAATTGGATCAGAGTGGAGCAGCCAAGACTTGAACCGGTGCCCATATGGGATACTGACACTGCAGGCTGTGGCTTTATCTGCTACACCACAGCACTGGCCCCAGCTTTTTTACTTTTATTTATTCTATTTTGTTTGTTTACTTGGGGGGAGTGGAGAAAAGGAGAGAGAACTCTCATCCACTGGTTTACTCATCCTAGTATCTGTAGTTGTGGGGCTGAGCCAGGTAAAAGTTTGAAGTCAGAAACAGTCCACATCTCTCACATGGATGGCAGGGACCTGCTGCCTCTTAGGGTCTGCATTAGCAGGAAGCTGGAGTCAGGAGCAGAGGTGGGTATCAAACCCAGATACTTGGATATAGGACACTGCTATCTTATCCACTTACTCAACCAGCTGGCCAACATCTCATCTCCATTCCCGGTTTTATTCTTTCCTTGGCTAGCTGCCCCAAATTATGACATCCTTTCAATCCACTTTTTAAAAAGTTTACATCTACTTATGTATGGAGTGTTTGTCTTTTTTCCTTTCTTCGAAATGTTATCCATGCTTCTTCTTCAATGAGCCTAAGGTGTTAATAACTTTTATTCTTTTTTAACAATGTATTTGAAACGCAGAGAGTGAGAAAGAGACAGAGTTCTGCTGACCACTGGTTCATCCCCAAATTGCTGAAACAGCTGGGTCAGGGCCAGACCTTCTTGTAGGTCTCCCACATATGTGTAGGGTCCCAAGCACCTGAGCCATCCTCCACTACTTTTTATTTTATTGCTTTTTTTTTTTTTTTGACAGGCAGAGTGGACAGTGAGAGAGAGAGAGACAGAGAGAAAGGTCTTCCTTTGCCGTTGGTTCACCCTCCAACGGCCGCCGTGGCCGGTGCATCGTGCTGATCCGAAACCAGGAGCCAGGTGCTACTTCCAGGTCTCCCATGCAGGTGCAGGGCCCAAGCACTTGGGCCATCCTCCACTGCACTCCCGGGCCACAGCAGAGAGCTGGCCTGGAAGAAGGAGCAACTGGGACAGAATCCGGCGCCCCAACAGGGACTAGAACCCGGTGTGCCAGTGCCGCAGGCAAAGGATTAGCCTAGTGAGCTGCGACGCCAGCCCCTCCACTGCTTTCACAGGCACACTAGTAGGGAGCTGAATGGGAAGTGGAGCAGCTGGGACTCGAACTATATGGGATGCCAATGTTGCAGAAGGAGGTTTTACCGGATACA